GACGATATGGGGGTGTACGTGGTGCACCCTGGGCAACGTATATTCATACGGCAAAAAGGTCTATTAACTGGCAGTTGACTTCTCACTTCAAACTACCATCACCCCACTTTATGCCATATTAGACTATTTCACAGTACTCACCCCACCTTTGTTCTACCTTTGTGTTCGTCTCAAACATCTTTGAAAAACTCCTCTCTTCCCCCTCTCGACATTTTCAAGTTGATGTTCCTTCCCCTCTGTGAAGACTGAAGGCAACTAAAGGGCTAATGATAACCATCAAGACGCCTGCCATTTGATATAAATAAATAAATTTGGACGATATATGATTTTGCTCAACAGAATTTGCAATTAAACGCTAAAATTAATATGATTAAATATTCATATTTTGATAATTTATTTTTTATTTTTTTCTTTGAATACAGTTTTCGTTAAATAGTTGCTAAGAGTTTTTATAGCCCACTTAAATTATTAAACAGTCGACCTTGGCCTCATTCGACCATTTAATATTTGAAGCGGTTTCGTAGTTTGTTGTGTCTTTATCTTCGCAATGTTTTCCCGTCTTTGTTCTACATCTGGACATGGCGTCATAATATGGAGACAAAGCAAAAATTTCTTTTCAACCATTAAAAGCTCTGCCGTAAGTCAAAAACTAGGATTTACTTTTCAGTCACTTCGTAGTACACTTGAAGAAGCTGTAACTCAACATCGCGAAGTTGTATCTGCTTTTCGCAAAGAACATGGCAGCAAAAAAGTCGGCGAAGTTACTGTCGATATGGTATGGTGTTAATATATCGTCCTATCTTGCCTTAGATGTATGGTGGTATGCGAGGAATCAAGGGTCTAGTAACTGAAACCTCTGTTCTCGATCCGGAAGAGGGAATTAGGTTCCGTGGTTATACAATCAAGGACTGTCAAAAATTACTTCCTAAAGCAGAAGGTGGGAAAGAACCTCTACCTGAAGGCGTATTCTTCCTTCTTCTTACTGGTCGGATTCCATCTGATGAGCAAGTTAAGGCTATTTCCAAGGATTTAAATGCGCGAGCTTCCTTGCCAAACCATGTTGCCACCATGTTAAAGAACTTTCCAAATACCATGCATCCAATGACTCAGCTTGTTGCGGCGTCGGCTGCTCTTAATACGGAGTCGAAATTTGTTGCTGCCTATAACAAAGGTGTTAATAAGAACACCTATTGGGAGGTAATGGAATAATTTAATCTTTTACTTTTTTTGTTCTCTTCAGTACGTCTATGAGGACTCTTTGGATTTGATCGCCAGACTCCCCATTATAGCTGCCACAGTTTACAATCATTCGTTCCGTGGCGGAAAGAGTGTTGGGAAGGTTGATCCGAATGCAGATTGGTCACTGAACTTTGCTCGCATGATGGGCTTCGAGGATCCTCTTTTTACTGAGCTTCTTCGTCTATACTTGACAATCCATTGTGATCATGAGGTACCAATTTCTTTTCCTCAATTTCACTCGATTTGAGATTGGTTGCTAATACGTCTGTGTTAAATTGAAGGGTGGAAACGTTAGTGCTCACACTTGTCATCTTGTCGGTTCTGCTCTATCTGATCCTTATCTCAGCTTCTCTGCAGCAATGTGCGGTCTAGCGGGCCCACTTCATGGTCTTGCTAATCAAGAGGTTCTTATGTGGATTATGGATTTGGTTAAGAGCAAGGGTAAATCGCCTACCGATGATGATGTTATTCAATTTGTCAAAGAGACCCTGGAGAGTGGAAGGGTATGTTAAGTATATTTATTTTAACTATGTGAACGGATTATGACGAGTGTTCTGCGTCGTTTCTAGGTTGTTCCAGGATTCGGTCACGCTGTGTTGCGTAAGACAGATCCTCGATATATGTGCCAGCGAGAGTTCGCTCTCAAACACATGCCGGATGACCCTCTGGTAAAGATTGTGGCACAATGCTTTAAACTTATTCCTCCTTATCTCGATGGCTTGGGTAAAGTTAAGAACCCTTGGCCCAATGTTGATGCTCACTCTGGTGTTCTGCTTCAAGTATGAAATATCTCGATTTCATGCATCGATTTTTCTTATCCATAATTATTATTATTTTCTTTTCTGAAGCATTTTAAAATGACCGAGATGAGCTTTTACACGGTTCTCTTCGGTGTATCTCGAGCTCTCGGTGTATGCTCTTCGTTGGTCTGGGATCGAGCCCTTGGTCTTCCTATTGAACGCCCCAAATCGATGAGCACTGACGGACTTCGGGAACTCTTCAAAGCCAAGTAGAAAACTTGACTTAGTAGTCGCCGTTATTGACATGTCACCACCGGCTGTTGTTTGTACTGTTGTTGTCTTCTCTCGCACATATTGGTTTCTTTGTTTTCATGTCTTTTCGCTCGTTTATCTTTAATAAATACATCACTTGCCAATAATTCCTGTTTTTTTTTGGTGTTCATTAAGCTAATCTTAGATAAAGTCTAGGCTTTCATACTATTTTGCTATTGGTACTCATTTTAACATTAACAGGCAAGATGTCATTTAATACGGACAAAGATTTCTTGGATGAGATATTTATGGCAGAGGAGAAGCAGTATTCTGACGCTTATCGTAATGCCTTTGCAATGATTGCAGATGACAAGTCAGCCTCGCAACTGTCCGATCGAAGTGGCGAATTGGAGTCATCATGGGTGCACGGTCTACAATATGGCGCTACACTGGGATCAGAATTGTACTCTTATCAGGGTCTGGCTGAAGAAGTACTTGCTTCGTGGAGTGTTGAGGAGCACCTGGATAGACATCATCCTGTCACCATCGCTAAGAAACTCATAGAACTTCTCAATGAGTCCCCTGGACCTTTGGCGAGATCATGTGAGGAGTTTGCCAAGCATCCTTCGCTTGATGGCGATTTGGCGCTTATTCGAAATAAGGCGAAAATGCTCATTAGCAAATTGGAAATTCACTCTCTTAGTAAGGGTGTCGAGGGGCTTGATTTCTAATCAACCTGTTCTCTTTTTTGTATAATTTGTGTATTGTTCTCCAAATGGTCTTTCGATTTTACTCCATTTTGTATTCTAGGCCAAAAGCATTTGTATTTGCTTTTTATTCCTCTTACGAATAAATCAATGCGCAAAACACCGATGTGTTGCATATTTTTTGGGATTATATTTTTTGGCAACAAGTTAAGTGTCGTTAAATAAGTTGCTTTTTCAACTGATGTTCCCTATCGGTCACTGCCTGCTGTTGAATTTGTCAATGGGATTTCATGGCTGGAGCGCCATTTTAAGTACTGCAATCTTGTTACATCAATCTGGAAGTGAATGATAGCGATAATATTGGGGTAATCGATAAGCTGACGGTACTTGTCCGGTCAATCAGTTATTAAAATCTTATGTAGATGGTGCTTTGAACCCGGGACTCAATAAATGCCAGGGTGAAACTGGTTTCGTGATTGGTTAAAGATTATGTGACCAATGATAACTGGCCCACATTCAGTGGCGTGGTTGGTCAGTTACTAAGGTCAATTCTGGTGATCAATGGAAGCAGATTGTAACATGCTTCTCTGCTAAACCAACTGCTGTTCGCTCCTTGGCGCGCTTGAAAAAAAAAACTAACCTGTCTTATAGATCCCCTTAAATCAGGCTGACCTTTAAAAGACCACTAAAATTTGTTGAAATCCTTACTAACTTAAAGTGCCTTTGGAAATTCTCATAGATCTGTTTCAACATAGAGGCGATTCTCGTGTGTGCCTGGTTTTAAGCTTGTTCGCAAGGTTTGCCACTAACAGGTCAAAACTATTGAACTTTCAAATTATAATTGTGTTCGTCATTTATTAATCCAGTCAAACCTCAAAGCGTGCTTAGGATACCACGAAGCATGACCAATGGTGGTGGTTTCTAGAAATTTGAGCAACAATGAACCCTTTGAAGAGACTCGACTGCTTAAAGATACATAAATTCTGGTTGGAGGCTTGCCACTCATATTCATTTTATTATTTTCAAAAGTAACTAAATAACCCTCCATTAAACATCTTTTATTTTTCATCTTGTTGTCAATACCTCTGGTAAAATAGAAACATAACTGTTTGGAAAACAATGCATTTAATAAGGCAAAGGATTAAACATTCAATGAAAGCTTCTTTGAACATCACAATAATCTCTATCTTCACTAAATTACGGCTTATATAAAGGTCTATACCTTCAGGAATTATGATCCATGAGCCAATGTAATTAGTCCTGTTTATTTCAATGAGCTTGTTTGGACCTGTTTAAATTTAGTTTTTGAGAAGATTGGGCCTTTATTTATAACAATTTCACGGGCAACTCTGAGATAGCAACGGGCGATAGTAAATTATATTTGCTCTGATATTAGAACTTTCAACAATGCAAAGCATTATTACTTTAATAGATTGATAAACGGTTATTCCCACATGGCTAGAACGCAGGTTAAATTAAGATACATGAATTAAATCAAATCTATTCGAGTAAGCGACTATTCTGCTTGAAAGTTAGTAGGTAGTATCTACTGTGCAAACCGGAAGTATTCGGCTATTTCTGCTGTCCAAATTATTCTGCGATGCTATAATTGCTGCTCGAAGTGGCTAAATTTAGTATTGGAAAGCTCAGAAAATGCAGGAGCATACCGACGTGATTTGCAATCACTTGCACACACTATGGCAAGATTTCCTAGCTAGAAAAGACTCCCAAAGTTGGTTAATCCACCTCAACGATATAGAGGAAACAGATATATGGTGTGTAACCCGTTTGGTTGGGGTGCGTGTAACTAGCACTGCGCTCTTGACCCCATTTGGCCCCCTAGTGTGATTTGCATCACACATGCTCATGATAACTACGGGGTAGGTAGCACTCCACTAGTTCCGGGACAGTCCTACGCTAAATTAATCAAGTTATCTCAACCCTTTTGGTGGTTGCGTGACGCAAGCACAGAGCTTAGTCATTTAAAAAAAGCATCCCGGCTACGCAGACCATGTGATGTCTACTGCTTATTGATTGGCTAAGAGGTCTCTGCAATCACGACTACACTTGCTCCCAAACGCGTGCGGTCAACAGTGCGGCCGCATGCTCCAGAATGTTCGGTCACGTATGCGTTTCCTTGGCTCAATTATGCTAGGGTTGTGCCCTCTACACATCACCGATTGAAAGTTTAACAATTCTCTTGAAGTCTTGCTCACCTATATCGATGCCTATCAGTTTCCTTGTTTGTCAAAAAAGCAGTGCAGTATAAATTCAATGGTTTTTATTCTCACAGCATCCATTTCGTATATCTTCAAATGCCCTTTTTTGATAAAAGAGTTCATGTAAACAGATTGTTTACTATCATTCACTCATTTACAGTAGATATATCCATTAATTCAGTACTTGTTAAATTATTCAAAATAAACCAAAAGTGCATACTGATTAAATGAGAGAAGATCTGCTGGTCCCTGATTATAATTTTACAAAAAAATTCACTGAACAGAGCTGTTCCCTCAAGAACTTCGCTTTTTATACAATTATTCGACCTGGAGATCAAGTCTGCTCATTGCTATATCACTTTAAGATGTAATTCATTTTTAGAATTTAGATTTCTACCTCTAAAATAGTTGGTATTTAGTAATATGGACATCACATATGTTCGAAAAATCAACACTTAAGAATCATTGCGGACCAAAGAGATTTAAATGTAAAATGTAATGTTGGGTTGAAGCGAGGCATAGCAGCGTAGCTAAAATCAATAAGGTTACTTCGCGTCTCTTTGCGTCCTTGTGAAGAGAAAATGGCTGCCTTTTTCCACCTTAGCAGAACGTGGGCATTTTGAAAGTTACAACTGCGCTTACTTTTAACTTAATCATTCAATATTTCGGTCTTGTAGAAGGTGTCTTAAATAAAAACAGTAAACAGATTCGAAGAATGCCGTTTTAGGAATATTTATTTATTTATAACAAATGGCAGGCGTTTTGATAGTTATCATTAGCCCTTTAGTTGACTTCGGACTTCACAGAGGGGAAGAGGAACATCAAAGTGAGTAGGATTCGGGAGGGGGGAATAGAAAAGTGATTCACAGATGTAAAAGAAACAGACAGACACAAAGGCTCAGAAAGGGTAAGGTGAGTGGTGGTAGGGGTCGAATATGACAACCAGGGGGGGTGATGATTGTTTGAAGTGAGAAGTCAACTGCCGATTAATAGACTTTTTTGCCGTATGAGTATACGTTGCCCAGGGTGCACCACGAGGAGGTAAGTCTATCCCACACCCCGTTTTAGGAATATATAAAGTTTGTAAAACGTTCACTCAAAGAAATCACATGGGGCTTTGGATCTATCACAAGTGTACTTTGTTTAAAAGTATTCTGCCGTAGTGACCTTCATATTACTGCCATTCTAATAGTGTCTGTAGTAGTTGCAATAAATTTATATGTAAATGTATTAATTTTTGTACCGAGGTGTACGTGAAATACCAGGTAAAAATTTCAGGCACACACACAGAACAGTGCCCCGAGCGTTTCTTTCGTGCCATTTTCAAACAAAACCTCGAGTAACATCTTTTCCACTTTAATAAAACAAAAGGCTGATAATAATCTATTTGTTTTATTTAGGAAAAAAGAGTTTACTCTGTATAATCTCACACAATAAAAGGTATTTATGATACGTTTCAAATGGTTAATCGTCTCCTCGTTTAGTATAAGGAGGTCATTAATGGGTAATAATATTTTTGGCTTGATTCTTCGACTAGGCCCACCTTAGCAACCTCGCAGTTATTTTTAAATTAAGCATTGTCGACAATAGTCTTGATCTAGAAAAAGTTTGCTGTGATTACTATTCCATGTAGTTCCGGTTTTTTCATCAACGAGTAAAACAAACGTGAACACTGGTCTTTCAATCCTCTAAAATGAGCCACTTATTTTCAGACCATTGCAACTGCAACTTAGGCCTTAGTTTATTAAAAAATAGTAAAACATTTATGTGTACATAGCTGCAATTGGAACAGATTGTAAAAGTGCTTATCACATTTGTTATATTTATTTATATCAAATGGCAGGCATTATGATAGTTATCATTAGCCCTTTAGTTGACTTCAGGCTTCACAGAGGGAAAGGAAAATCAAAGTGATAAAAATTCGAGAGGGGGGGAGGGAAGAGAAGAGTGTTTCAAAGATATAAAAGAGACAGACGGACACAAAGGTAGAAAATGGTGAGGTGATTACTGTGGAAGTAGTGGAGTATTACATAGAGTGGGGTGATGGTAGTTTGAAGTAAGAAGTCAACTGCCAGTTAATAGACTTGCCGTATGAATATACGTTGCCCAGGGTGCACCACATGGAGGTAAGTCATGCCAGTTAATAGACTTTTTTGCCGTATGAATATACGTTGCTGTAGGCGAATATGTTGCCCAGGGTGCACCACGTGGAGGTAAGTCTATCGTACGTTGTCCAGGGTGCACCACGTGGAGGTAAGTCTATCGTATTCTTAAGAATAATTGTTTAGAAAACCAGCAAGGGTTGACCTTCCCTTATTTGTTATATAAAAGTACTCTTTGAGGATTATTTTGTAATTTCTTCAACTCTCTAACTTTTCTGATTGACTTGATTCCTGGAAGGCTATTAACCACTTATCAGCCGAAGTCTTGTAAACAACGCAACTAAAGTAAAGTATAAAGGTTCTGTAAGTGCATTTATAGGGTTGTGCAACTTAGGCATTTCTGATGGATTGCGAACTAAGTCCAGAGTTGGGGATGCTAACATTGTCGGAACATCAAAAATATTTGGAGTATTAACAAATATCTTCACTACACTTCACTTTCAACTCTATTCTCCTCTAAATGCTTCTACATAAATGCAGTCCCATTCAATTATGCTAGCTTCCAATTCGTTTAGATTTAAGCAGTCAATCTGTGGTTGTAATTTTCGAAATAATGCAGACATTTAGGTAGGGAGAGGATTAAGAAATAATTTGTTTCATTCTGTTGAAGAGTTTATTATTTAAGTTCCCTTTACATTAATTGAGTTGTTTTAGCGCCATTTTTTCGACAATCCAAATATACGTTCGCCAAATGGTATACTTAAAAGACATTTAATTCACCAGTCGTTCAGAGTTTCAACAAAAATTAATCTGATGATTCAATTACGGGTAACAATAAACTCCTATCACATTTAGTTGCCCGGTTTATGAAACATTTGTACTGGTCTTTTGCAGAGCTCAATTGAACAGACTTCAAGTCCACAAAAATCTATTTATTTCAAGGTAATAAATTAGCAGGAAGCCAACTTTCCTTTCTAAGTAGAAAATAAACATATTTGACAGCCGCAAGTAACCTTGACACGCAGTTACTAAGCCCACTACCTTGGAGATTTCCTTCTCCATTAAATTTGAATTAACAAAGTGCATTTTCTGAACATTTAAAACTCATTTCGTTTGATTCATGTTTGCGAAGGCCATAACATATTTTTTGGCAGTTGAACTTTGTCACGACAAAGTGTTAATATGGCCTTTTGATTGAAATAAAAAATTATTTCACCCAGTGAACAAGACGTTGTCTCGATTATGGAACAATTCATGGTATTATATTAGTGTACTATATAGTGTTTTTAATATAAGGACAATTGGGGTGTGCGATAGACTTACCTCCACGTGGTGCACCCTGGGCAACATATTCGCCTACAGCAAAAAAGTCTATAATCCGGCTATTGACTTCTGACTTCAAACTAGCACTTCCAACGTACTCATCTTACCTTATCTCTGTCTTTGTGTCTGTCTGTCTGTCTCTTTTACATCTTTGAAGCACTCTTCTGTTCTCCCTCTCCAATTTTTCTCACTTTGATGTTCCTCCCCTCGGTGAAGCCCGGAGTCAGCTAAAGGGCTAATGATAAGTACCATAAAACCCACCTTTTGAAATAAATTAATATAAAGACAATTTCTCATACACCACTGGTCAGAATTAGTTATTGATTATGAATGAATTTTCTGGAGCTCTATGAGCCCACTTATGCCACTTGAATAGACATCGTCTTATACTTATAGATATCTATTGACGCGTTTCCATATAGTTGTTACAGCGTTTCGTAACTTGAAAAATTTCTTAGATATCCTTAGTTCAACCACTAAGGCGATCGATTTTTTTGTTTCACAAGAAGACACGTAACTCTATGCAGCATCCTATTAGAGGCAAAGTTGGTACTTCGTTTATTTAAACGAAAGAATCATCGGCTTGATATAATTTGAATATCATCATAGATAAATATAAATTTCTTTTTAAGAGTATTGTACTGAAATACATCTAACTATGTGATCCAATTGGCGTGATTGAATATTCCAATTCTTTGTTTCAAATGTTTGTGACTGTTTGCTGCATCCAAGGTTTTGAGCTGGAAAGCATGGACACACTGGGATTTTCTACACATCATCAAATACTAATGATTCACTTGCTTTTTATGGTTGATTGCTAAGTGCAGATTGTACTTACGGATAGACTGGCAGACATCGCCAGTATCTGGATTGAATATGTATCTGTGTGTATCATAACAATTAAAGGCATGGAGTTCTAATCTTGTTCAACTAGCTCGTCATTAGTCACCTAATTCCGTCATCCCATCTATAACAACCGGTATGAATAGGTATTTCGAATGAAAACAGCTAACTAAGAATATTTGTTCCAAATGGTGGGCGTTTTAATAGTGATCATTAGCCATTTAGCTGACTTCGGGATTCACAGAGAGGAGGAGGAACATCAAAGCGACAAAAGTCGAGAGGGGAGACAGAATAATGATTCACAGATGTAAAAAGTCGAGAGGGGAGACAGAATAATGATTCACAGATGTAAAATAGGCAGACAGACAGACACAAAGGCAGAGAAAAGGAAAGATGAGTATTGTGGAAAGGGTCGAATATGACATACAGTCCGGTCATGGTAGTTAGGACCCAGAAGTCAACTGCAGGTATACGTTGCCCAGGTTACACCACGTGGAGGTAAGTCTATTGCACACCCCACTAACGAAGAACATAATGGGCCATAAACAGCAGATGTCAATCAACCTCCAGAGACCAGATATGTTAAAGTCCCGACGACAAAATTTGCGTAGGCAATCCACCAGTGCGCTTGCACCTAGATATCAGCCCAACTACCAGCCCCTACGCAAAAACATGACGTCAAAATAAATGACTAACGTCTCACTCACCAGAATGTCGCCAGGACTTACTACAAGCGCATCTGAATCAGCACCCAAATCTACGGATAAACAAGCCTAAATTAGAGATGTTCACTAACAATGTTAATTTTTAGCAAAGACAATTTAAGTAAGTATGTTATTGTCAATTATTCGTATAATTCGTAGCTTTCTTAAAAGGTGGTAAAGTACATTGTCCTGCTATGCAGCATTTTAAATAAATTATTAAAGTTATCTTAAACCCGTGTTTTAAAATCCTGCAGATTCGAGACAATTTTGATGACTATTTAAGTTTACCAATACACAAATTTATTGATTAATATAAACTTGATGACTTTCCCAATCATTTATAAACCGATCTATGCGGATCCTATTCATATCCATTCATTACACAGGGTTATTTTTTGTTTTTTAACCGTTCATTGTTGCATTTCTTAATCTAGACCTATTAGTTCACTGATGTGAACACCTCCTGTTTGTAAGTGAAAGACTTTTCAGCGCCGAAGGTAATCTATCATGAATTTTCCCTACAAATGTCTGGTCTGTGGAGTGTACAACGCTATCAAAGCTTAACAAAGGAATCTCGCGTGCGGTCGCGCTGTCGTGCAAGTATATCGTATCTAGATATTTCCTATTTATACAAAAAACTCTCCACGCGATATCTCCAATGTCAGCGCTACTTTTGACGTATGTTGGCCATTCCACTTGCAAAGCATGCTAGAGGGCTCTGCTAAGCAATAAAGGATTAATTAAAAGCAAAGAACTCTCCATTCAGAGACTTTCATGAAGCAGAAAATGCTTGTCACATTTTCACTGAGTACAAAATGTTTATGCCAATTATAAAAAGGCAGGTAAATTTACCATTTCCACTTAATCGCAGATCTTTGCTACTAATAGGGATGAAGGTAAATAATATTAACGTGTTAGTGAATCAATCATGAAAAAGTGCCAATTTTATCAACATGTGGCGTCTTGTTTCGTTTCAATCAAACTCCGCACTATTAAACTGAATATGGTACGAACATTTGGAATTGACAATAACTTAATTCAGTTGGCTAATTCTCTCGCAAATGTAGACATAAAGTAACATTCTCGCACCATCATCATCATCTCGATTTCGGAGGAGATAATCCTTTTCGCAAAATCACGCGATTAACAAGTTCTTTAGAAGCAAGAATTGCCTAATTTAAAAGTTTGACTTTAGTATATTTCGAGTGAATTGATTCCTCAACCAACTTATTATAGATAAGCTTTTTAGTAACTTGAAAAGTAAGAAAGTTACTGTCCATTTATTTATCTCACGACTGCAAGATTTTACAGATGAATAAGTGTTGTATTTTAAACCATCCTCATATGTAAACTGGTCAACAATTCCTGAGTAATGTTAGATATATGCACACTCAGAGGATTTGAGATCAAACCATGTGAATTAAGCTTGAGACCAAGTTGATATCGCGGAGTGAATGGTGCACCATAATAGAATAAAGGGATGAATTTCTGCGTCTTGAATTAAAATTCAGTAGGACTTGCAACATCCTAGCTTTATTGTCCATTCCATTTATTCATTAACGAAATATACTTCCATTTTGCCTGGTAAGATGTCATGAGTCACAGTACAAATTTTCCGTTTTTCCTGTCATTAACTTGTTTTAACTAGAATAAAACTTAGCAAGGATTGCCTTTTCCGGAACTCATTCCCAAGAAAAGGCATGGAACCGCGAAGACTCATTGCTAAGAGATTCGAGATTCAAAACCATTCCGAATTCTCCAAACTTAAGCCAATCAAGTTGGTCATTTTGCCCAAAGATGGGAATCGAATACTTGACCTCGAGCTTCACAGACAGGCATAATAACTATTGCACTTAAAGTGAATAAAACCTTCCTCAGTTCTCCCTTAATTAAAAGTTCTTTTTTTTTAAATTCGCCAAACACGTAGACTACTTATTATATTGCTAAGAATGGGGTGCGTGATAGACTAACCTCCACGTGGTTCACCCCGGGAAACGTATTCTCATACGGCAAAAAAGTCTATTTACTGGCAGTTGACTTCTCACCATAACATAGAGTGCTATGTTATATTCGACTACTTCCACAGTACTCACACCGCCTTTTTACTACCTTCGTGTCTGTTTCTTTTAGATCTTTGAAACACTCTTCTCTTCCCCCCCCCCCTCTCGATTTTTTTCACTTTGATATGCCTTCCCCTCTGTGAAGCCTGAAGTCAACTATCATAACGCCTGTCATTTGATATAAATAAATATTGCTAAAAAGTGGTGTGCACCTTGGGCAATGTATACTCATACGGCAAAAAGTCTATTAATCGGCAGTTGACTTCTGACTTCAAACTACCATCACCCCACAGTATTTCATATTCGACTAATTTCACAGAACTCACCTCACCTTTTTCTCCCATTGTGTCTGTCCGTCTCTTTTACGTCTGTGAATCATTATTCTGTCCCCCTCTCTCTGTAAAGCCCGAAGTCGTCTATATCGGAGAGTGCTACTGTCTACTGTTTCTCCTTTGTTCGAGCTTTAAGTTCGTTACACCATGAGGTCTTGAATTCTCATTGTGTGGGAAGACATCGGCCGGCCCATGCATTGCAAAGTCGTTGTCCCCTTCTTAGCAAGTGTGTCAGCAAGCTCATTGCCTTTAATGCCACAGTGACCAGGAATCCATTGTAGGACCACTGTTTTGTTCTTTTCTCCCAGCAGCTCATAGAGTTTTCTACATTCCTTTATCTCAGCTGTTTTGGGTGGCTCTCTGTTTCCAATTGAGTTTATTGCTGACTGCGAGTCCAAAAGTAACACCACTTTGGTGAATTTCGTATCCAGGCAAAATAATTGGCATAGTGCTATCCTAATGGCCTCTATTTCTCCTTCAATAGCGGATCTTTTGTGTCTCGCTGCTGCGTAGAAAGAGTTCAGAAAATACACATGCACCAATATTTGCTTGGTTTTCAGTGAAGATTTGGAGCCATTGATCTCCAGGATAGTTGACATTGATTGTCTCAAGGGCCAGTGAGCGCATTTGCTCTGGAGGGGTGTTTGATTTCCTGAAGAAGTCAAGGAGTTGGGTGTAACACACTACATCAGTGTCTGCTAATGGGTTCATGGGGAGAGAGAGGCTTTTTGGTTTGTCATCGATTTGTAATTCTTTCTTCAGTTCTATGGCTTTCTGTATTAGACCAGATTGCTTTTTCAGATNCAAACTGTCTTACTTGTATTTTTAAATCTCCTGAAGATTTTCTGACAAAAGGGTTTTTCTTTTGCTTGTGGGAATAGAACCTCGCAAAGCAGTTAGCTATTTCGGAGTCAGTGGTAAGCAGTTTGTTTTTTAAACGTATTGGTTCTTTCTTGATTCTTTCCTTGTTGTTTTGGAGGTTACCCAGGAATTTGAAAATGCGTTGGCTATCACTTTGATAGTTGATATTTGAGATGAACTTGTCGAAGGAAGTCCGTTTAGCTTGTAAGATGGCTTGCCTTAGGACAGCTGATTGTCGTCTCCAGGCTTGTACGTCTTCCGTTCTTCCAGTCTCAACAGCAGTGTTGCGAAGGGCATCCCGCTTTCTTTTCAGTTCCTCAAGGTGTTTAGACCAAAACACTCGATAGTGTTTAGTCTTGCCTCTGGGAATAGTTTTCTTTGCACATCTGATCATTATATTCGTGATATCAGTGCAAAGTTTGTCAGGATGTTGGTTGAAGTTGAGGGGACTTGTGTGAAGTTCATTCTCTAAAAGGTTTGTGAATCTAGGCCAGTCAGCCTTCTTGAAGTTCCATGATAGCTTAGTTGGCACTTTCCATGTCATGCTTTTGTGACCAGAACCAGGATCGTCCATTATTTTGCGCCGTGTAGGCTCGCTGATGTCGCTTGAAGCCAGGAGTAAGTCAGGAGTTGTTCTGGTTCCATTGTAGTGCAAATATGTAGCCGGATCCTCATTGCTGTAAATAAGTTCCAGAGGGTTGCTGTTTAGCATGTCTTCGATTTTCTTTCCAGCTATATTTGTATCCTTGTAGCCCCATCTGGTGGAATGGGCGTTGAAGTCGCCTAATACTACAGTTTTGTGTGAGATGTTCAGAAAGTCAAAGTTGGGACAATTCTGGGGTGGATTATAGACTGCATATATCTTGAATTGGTTTTGACATTTCCAAACATTTAATCTGATTATTTCACATATGTCTTGTGTTGAGTTCATACTCTTGATTAGATCGTAGTGTGAGGTGAGGCCTTCTTTTACTCCAGTTAGAATTCCACTTGCAACTTGCCCGTATTTAGGTAGAAGGTACAGGGTGTAACCTGGGAATCGGTAGTACTTCAGTTTGTCATCCGAAATGTTAGCTTCCATAATTGTGAAAATGTCTACATCATAGGCTTGTAGGATTTTCTGTATTTGGATCTTTTTGTCCGGAGACATTCCTCCAGCATTCCACTGGAGGATCTGAAGACGTTGTGATTCGCCCTGACGAGGGCGATTTCTCTTATAGCCTTTTTTTAAGCTAATCATAATAAATCGAGGTCAAATCAAATGCCGAGTGATAGACTTTTTTTGCCGTACGAAGATACGTTGTCCAGGGTGCACCACGTGGAGGTAAGTCTATCGCGCACCCCTCATTTGAAATAAATATATTGCTAAGACTTTTCCGAGAGCCTGCAAAGAGTTGATTAGAAGAAAAAAAGAGAGGATAACATTTGACAGATGCATGAATAATACTACAAAGACGTTAAATAACGGTTTAATGGCAAGTTTTAAATTCGCATTATCGCTGCATTCTCAAAGCGCTCGCGCAGTCTTCCCATTGCGACCAGAGGGCGTGCTTTAGTCGTCAATCTTAACCAATCACAACTGATTGACGTCAGGCCTATTTTTCGCAGTGGGTTACAGGGCCTACAATTACTCCATTCTTTCCTGGTAGATTGAATTATTGGTCTTTTTAACACCATAAGTTAACTTTAGAGCTTTACTTAACGATAGCTGGAGAATGAATACAATTTCACACAATTTATATAATATTGGAAGGTTTTCTTCTCCACTTATATGTTTTTTTGTGGATAAGTTGGATAGTCTCTTCAGAAAAAAAATCGGTCAGTAGCTGTAAAACATGACGGATTAGTAGAATTCTACTCAAAATAACTGCTACTAGTGCCTTTAACAACTTCAATTCAACCTCGGAAGGGTCTCATAAGATGTTTTCACTCTGTCCGTTAACTGGGTTGCTTTTGTGGCACTGACACAGCGTTGCACGCTTTTCTCTACATCACCCAATACATGCATTGTATTGTATTTTTCTATTTCGATTGTTGGCTAGGCAATAGTGGATTTGATTAGTATTAATGGATTCCTAACCATCAATTTTATTTGTGCGAAGACGTCTTATTTGTAATTCGTCTTCTGTGAGTAGTCAACCTTTTATTCAATTTAGCTCACATTTGAAAGCATTTGTTGGTCTTCAAGATTGAGCATTCGAATAGTATACATATATCGTTTGTTTTTGCTAATGTTGGCAGTCTTTTTAGGAAAAAGAAGAAAAGCGATTAGTAACTGTAAAATTTAGTGATTTAATAAGATTCAGTTGAGGAAATTACACTACTATCGAAGGAAATCATTTTGTAGCTGCAAAACATAATGGATTAGTAGAAGTCATATTGTTTTCTAAGAATTCTACTCAAAATAGCTGTTCCGAGTGTCTTTTGCAACCTCAATTCAACCTCGGAATTGGAATTTAGAGCAAATTGTTTCTACTCTTTCCCTTGGAAGGGTCTCATAAGATGTTTTCACTCTGTCCGTTAACTGGGTTGCTTTTGTAGTACTGACACAGCGTTGCACGCTTTCCTCTACATCACCCAATACATGCATAGTGGTCCATCATGTTAAAACCTGGATTTGGAGGGCCCAGTACAGCCTTAAAATTGACCCCCTCCCTCCCAGCCATTTTTCACTTTTTCCTGAGATGTAGGAGGTGGTCGTTGTCCAGGCCTTAACACTGCAATGGCCAGAATTTCTACGTAGGCATGAGAATTAAATGCAACCTCCTAAGTCCTTATGGAAAAGACTGTGGAGGGTGATATCACATGTCATGACCTTTAAAGGTGGACAGATTTGAAAGTGATGACTCGAGAAGTGTGTTTTGGACTGGTGTTGTCAAAATAAGCCAGCCATCTGTTATTCTGATTCCTGTGTTGGTCATCTTGGCAAAAGTGTTTTCCATTGGAGAAGAAGCAGAATGTTAGTGGTTGAAGGGGATGTTTGAGGTTATTCTTTAGTCGTTTCGTCTTTGTCAGGCGACGATCTTCAAGAACGTATTGTGTGTGTGCGTGAGGTTGGTCTCTGGAAGGTATCTTAAGTGAGTAGTAGCGAAGGACTTCATTGAGTGCATGTTTCATGGTGGGGGACTGAAATAGTGAAGTGACTGTATTGGCAACACTGGAGTGTTTCAACACTTTTTCTGATCAGATTATTAGTCAGATCGCTTTATTTTTGGCCCAGGCACCTCGTATCTCCATTACAATTCTCCAATTCATGATGGAATATTTGTTTTGATATGGATGTGAGAAAGGGAGAGAGAGAGCAATGAGCAGAGACCTTATTTGGATGGTGGGTGCAAATTGCGTGGGATGTTCCAGTCATCATTCATTTCAGAAGTCATGTTTAATGCGAATGAAGAAGAGTTTTAATTTAATGAACGAAGCTTAGTGCGCATGAAAACCTTTAGCATAACTGAAAAAACAGTAACATATGAGCCCCCCATTTTTACAGTGAATTTTGTTTCAAATGTCAGACGTTTTGATAGTCATCATTAGCCCTTTAGTTGATTTCGGGCTTCACTGAGGGGAGGAACATTAAAGCGAAAAAATTCGAGAGGGGAGCAGAAGAGTGAATCACAGAGAAACGATGCAAAGGTGGAGAAAAGGGTAAATACTGTGGAATTGGTCTGATATGGCAAACATTGGGGTCATGGTAGTTTGAAGTCAGAAGTCAATTGTCAGTTTTTAAACTTCTCTGCCGTATGGGTATACGTTGCCCATGGTGCACCACGTGGAGGTAAGTCGATCGCACACCCCCTTTTAAGAATTAATATATTAAACACTTTTAAGTAAAATGTATTGAAGGCTCTTCATCGTATTCGGAGATAAAATTATTCCTACCAAGACAAAACAACTTTTAAACTTATTTAGGCAATAAAAACGTGCCAAATCGACATCTGATTCGTTTCCTCACCCTTTTTTCTGCCTTCTCATAGATTTGACTTTTCAATTTATATCTCCTCCTGTCAACTCTATTAACCATATTTAATTGTAGCTTTAACGTGATTTTGTTTGCGATGGAGTTCAATTTCCTTATCACATTTATGGGAAAAATGTTAGCATGCCTCTAGGCTTAGATATGTGCTTTTACTTTCAGAGTACCTAAAAATGCGGAACGCCAGAGAAGCCAATTTACTTATGATGAATCCTTTTCCTTTAGAACATCTAAAGTAATTTTACTGCCAGACGACATCTAATTTTCGTTTCTAAAATGGAATGCATGGGGGTTTCCCGTCTCTAATTAAACAAATCCTCTATTTGTTAGTATTTATTTGAGAAACCGACAATTTAATATGGCAATACCAAGAAGGTTATTTCCACTATTGCACGTATCTTCCCCTCTCCGGTTATTCAGTTCCTTATATTCTATCATAAACCCACCATGATGAATTTCGAATTGAGTGCTTTTACCTGTATGTCAATCAAATCAAACTCAGACCAAATCTTTCAAAAGTTTTTACCTTTTTTATATGCTTGAATACTATATTTTGCTAGCGGGGTGTGCGATAGACTTGCCTCCACGTGGTGCACCCTGGGCAACGTATACTCATACGGCAAAAAAGTCTATTATCTGACAGATGACTTCTGACTTCAAACTACCATCACCCCGCTGTATGTCATATTCGACTTCTACACATTACTCACTTCACCTTTTTTCTACTTTTGTGCCTGTCTCCTTTACATCTTCTAAACACTCTTCTGTCCCCCCCCCCCTCTCGAATTTTTTTCACTTTGATATTTCTTCTTTTCTGTGAGGCCTGAAGTCATCTAAAGGGCTAATGAAACTATCAAAATGCCTGCCATTTGATATAAATATTTTGTTAGCAATTCAGCGTTAACTTATTGATTTAAACCAATGAATGCATGAAATTCACATCAGCCAATAGAAATGTGACCTTCCCAGATCCAACATATTTATGCAAGTTAAAAGTAAACAATGAACTAGTTCTTGACCGCGTCTTAATGCATTTATGTGAGAATATTTGAGAGTTGTTTACTTGAATTACTTCTAAAGTGGCTTTAAATAGCATTAATGAGAAAGGCAGCAGACACTAAAAATTATTTCAATCGATAGTAGTTTCTTCATTACCAGCTATACGTGATTTGCCTATCATTCATTTGTGATTTATTTCACCCCAAATAATAGCCCATATGTTGACTCTGTTTGCATAGTATATAAGATGATGAATGAATGTTAATTGAAAATGGGTCTAGGACCATTTTGAACAACTTTAACCATCAACTTTGTGATTGGAGACATGATACAATACTCCATTTTACCACTGAACGTATGGAATAACTATATATTTCTAAACCTTGATAGAGGTGCTTAAGATATTTTAGCTGACAAAGTTT